GTTCGCTCCGATAGGTATGGCCTCCTCTTTTTCTGCCTTTGGATTCGTTGGATCATGTTTCGATTTGTGTTTGGTTTTCTGAATTTGGATTCCTTTTGTTGATCTAGGGTTATTCGATGGCAGAGAAAACACTTTCTTGTTCAGGTAATTTGTTATGTCGATGATCTTAACCGTTTTAGTCCGATTGCTGTCTATCTCATCAACTTTCAAGCGTTTTGGTCCGATTTCGGTTGTTGTGTTTCTCCGATGAGTCATTCTAGACATGTTTTTTCGCAGATTCGAAGGAGAAAAGTGAAATTAGTTCACCTGATTTCGAGTTCCCAAGCATTAAAGCTATGGTCGCTCTCAATGTAACTCCCCTTTCCCTGTTCTTTCCATGTTAAGTAATTCAAATTCTGTAAAATAGACTTTGATTCTTGTCTCCTAGTGTTGACGAGTTTAGTTGGTTTTGTTTTTACAAGTCAAACACAAAGGAATTGTGTGAGGGGACTCGTAGAAGGCAACTGCCTCTGTGTGTCGGGAGCCCTGAAGCAACGGAGTTTTTCGCTGAGCGTATGGCGCGAATGAGAAAAGATCCAGAATCGATACCTATACTAGCTGATATAGACGATCGTGGTCCTGGTGCTGCCATGGAGTATGCCACAAAATATTTTTAATCCTTCGTTTTTTTATAGAAATGATCAGGTTTGCTTAAAGGCATTTCTCTCCGGTGGTTGTTTAGGTTCTGGGAAGATAAAGATGTGTTGAAAAAGCTGGCTAAAGCTGCTACTCTTGGTGCTGTGGAGGTATACACTGCTTTCTGAATCTTATCCTTAATCGAGGTTATTGCTTGAGGTAAAAACTCACACTGTAAACCAATCAGAGTCTGAACGAAGATGAACAAGTCTCCGAGGGAAAGAAAGCACTGAATATTGCATGTGGGTATGCTCAGGTATGTATGTCAAATCTTAGCAACTAGACAGAAGCATGGATATTATCAAGGAAGTTGACAGTTATCATCAATATATTTGTTTACATGTGGTTATAAAAAGCTTTTACTAAATCATGTAGTTACTTACCCTGGTTGTGTCTGATCTTATTAGATGAAATGTCTTAAAATTCTTCTGGATGCGGGAGTGTACGATGCGGGTGGCAGAAGAATGAGGAGCACACCGCGTTGTGCTCCTAAACGTGGGAAGAAAAAGAGTGGGCTGTGTAAGAAGGGTCATGCAGTGTAAGATTGACAATAAAACAAAACTTTGTTTCAAAACGACATAAAATGGTTCTATGTATTCATGTGTCAACTTGTTTTTGCAGCGCATCGCCAAATACGGAAAGTGAAACTCCCTCTGATGTGGCTACAACCAGCTTTCGATGCACTGAAGCTGCTTGAGATGGACGTTTGCCTTTAAGAGCTTTGAGAACATGTGCAGCTTCTGGAGTGGACCTAGAGTACTAACTAATATTACTAGAATGACTCGCTACAAAAGTGACTTTGTTACTTTGTTTTATTTCACCTTTTGCTTAAGTCGATTTACTTCATAAGACCAAGAATGCGATACCAAAATTTCGATCGAGGTAATTGTGAAACCAAGTAGATTTAAATATTAGCTACTTCATTGTTCTTATCTATATTATCTACAAATGCAAGTAATTGCTTTAGTGTTGTAGTAGTCACATATATTGGTTGAATCATAGTACTACTAGCTTAAGCATACCAAGAACTTGAAGAGTGGAACACTGAAACTTCTTTTACTTACCAAAGGGAGAGTTGGTCCGGTTCAATGTTCTCGTAGATGATTTGCATTGCGGTCATTGTTACTGCTCTCGACATTTCTCATGGGTAATAACATATCTGCCATGAGTAATTGAAAGTAAGAGACTCTCTCTTTCAGCTGTGAGTTCTCTTGCAAGATCTGGTGATTATTTTCTCAGACAAGTGATGATTCAACATCATGAGCTGTTCCAATTGTTGCTGCAACTCTTCGATCTGCTTCTTTTTGCGCATACGTGACCTTCTTGCAGATTCCATGTTAGAGACCATCCTTCTTTCCCTTCTTTCGTCTGGAACAAGACCCTCGTTATGGTACATGTTTTTGCCATTTGGGTCTAAGAGAGAATGATTATTATTGCGGGTTGATAATTTTTTGGGATACTGACTTCAATTGGACATGGAAGTTGGTGTTTGGTAGGAAAGCCGAGTTGAAATAATCGTCTAGTAGTGGCATTATTATCGAAACAATGAGATCGATGGACACTAGAATCCATGTAAGGTTTAAGATGTTCAAACATCAAAATGAATTCTCTGTGATGCAAGAATCAGAACACCAAAAGTGAGTGTGATGCAAGAATCAGAAACACCAAA